ATTGTGTGTTGATTCTGGCGGCCCCTGTGGACAAAAGCAGTAGTGTTTGTACTGCCTAATTTCATTGACTCAAAGGAATTAAAGGCATTAAGAATAACTATATAGAAATAGTCAATATTCTCACTGACGATCTTGTTGTTTGTCATATAGGGCCTTCAGTATTACACTGGGGCTGTTTCATAACCAGTTCAAATCTCCTTGTAGTAGTTTAAGCTGCCAGTAGACTGGGCTTTATAGTGCCATGGCATTAAGTAATTGTGAATTATTTTGAATTGATTGTTTCTGTTAGGCTTTAAAATCCCCTGAAACTGCATTTAGAACCAAGACTTGAATGACCCCACTATGAGCCACAAAACAGTCAGAGGCCATAACAGTAATGATAAAATCATTTATGAATACTTGTGTGTAAATGGATGAATATCATTGCAGCAAGTTTAAGTTAAGGCCTTCCTAGACTTTGTATACAACCCTGAACAACAGTATCTAATGTAATAAAGGGACTGCCTCTGCCTTCCTCCCCTGGCTTCACCTCCTTTCTTGAAAGCCTGACCTCTTGTGTTCTCCCTCCCTGCAGCATGAGGACTCATCCAGTTCAGGCAGCGCAGGTCGCCTGGAGCTGGGTTACCTGGAAGACGAGCGGGTTCGCGTTCTTGCTCGGATCGATGAGCTCAAAACCCGGCTGATGGAGCTGGAGCAGCAACTCCAGGAGTCCAAACAGGAGGTAGAGTACAGGAAGTGGATGCTAATGGAATATTGTTTGATCTAAACGCAGCCTAGACTCAAATAACAACATGCATTGTTACTGAATTAAAAGAGACAAGTGTCCACAGCAGCACTAAGAGCTGAATACAGTTCATGGTTGTGGTTCCTCCGTGGAGGCCTGAGGCTCAGGCTAATATCAGCCTTGCAGCTCGTCGGTGACACTGTGTGGCTTCCACTCTTGCAGGCGGAGATGGAGCGTGCCTTGCTGCAGGGCGAGAGGCAGGCGGAGCTCGACCAGATTGAGGCTGAGACAGACATCATCACTCAGCTGCAGCACAAGCTGGACGAGCTGGAGAGCGCCATCCAGAGAGAGAAAGACAAGGTACAGAGAGCCGTGGATGAAGGATCCGGGCTCTTGTTTTAAATGCTTCATTTGAATCCACTAATTACATTCAAGTATACAGGATTCAAATACCTGCTGTACATTCTTTGACACACATACACTCACTGCCTGTGCCCTTATAGTCTCCTAAACAGTCTCCTCTGGTCTCTTACATTCCCTGCTGGTCCGTCACTGTCGGTGACTTCCTGTCTGTACCAAGCATCCTTGCCTTGGAGAATGTATTGCACAGACAGACTACAGAATTTGAAGCCATATAAAGGGTTGAATAAAGGGTTGGATTAAGCTCCTTGGGTATTCTCTCTTGCATGTTTTCAACTTAGTTTTGCTTTCTCTGGTCAACTCTCATCCGTTTTCTCGTTAGCTGGACTCCGCTAACTTACCAACATCCATTAACCCCTAATCCTTCTCTCTGCTTCTTCAGCTGTGTCTCCACTGTCTGCATGACAGAGCCCGTTTGCCAGGAAACCTGCCCTCCAGTGGCCGTTTGAGTTCTGTAGTCTTTGGTTCTGTAGTGCACGGGTTCCACAAGAGACTCTGATTATTAGATATTCTGGTAGTGGACAGGGGAAACTAGCATGTTCTTTATAGTGGTATTATGGGGGTTCCTTTTTCTTTTTACCCCCCCCCTCCAAACACACACACACACA